ACACAGCTTGTAAAAAAGTTGTCTCCGAATTAAGTCGCCTTGGTATGCGGGTAACCTGACGCACAGCACTGATTTCTACGCCGTGCGGAAACCTTGTCCATGTAGAGTTATCTGATGAGATGAGCTAAAGGTGTCCTATTGAAAATGACAGTCAGTGCATAGGTCAGCCTATTCCTTCGTCTGTTATTCAGAGTTCAATTTAGTTTAGGTCAGGTCCTTGCTGGCTGGAGCACGCGGATCGTGTGAAGTGGATTTTTACTGGGATCGTGTGTGAGGTCTGTGTGAAATACAATCCTAACAGATAACGCTTCTTAAGCTCAGGTAAAAAAATAAGGCCATATCATGTGCATGACTTATGCTAGCTTATCGCTATGTAGAGCTGTAATCTGATGTTCAATTGTTGACAAATCTGATTTCGTCGCCGATGGCGTGGCTAGTACTGGCAAGTAGAAATGAGATCACCTAGCTGTGAATGTACTTGGCTGGCACCTGACAGGTGATGACTGCGAAATGTCAGGTTTAGCGCAGTCAGGTCCACACCGCATGCCGTCTTACTAACGGGTCTGGGTTACAGGTGCCAGATAGAACATGCTAGCCTTATACTGAGACATGAGAGAGCTGGTTGGTATCAAGTGAGAGGAAAACTATTGTTTGCAACACTGCATTTGCTGGGCTCGAACAACATACTTGCTGCTGGTCTATTTGGACTATTTCAGGACAATTCTCTATTGCATTTCTTAAATTTTATTTTGGACCATTTTATTGCATACAGGGCTTCTTGATTATATATATATATATATATATATATATATATATATATATATATATATATATATATATATAAGCAATCCAAAACTGTACCAGATCTTTGATTCGCAAGCCGTATGAGTCATGCGTCAAATGACTCAATGCAAGCAATGAGTCTGAGCTGAGTCGATTAAAAAATGTGGAATAGCTATGAGTTGTGAGCTGAATTGGATCCCAAAATATGCACAGTGGTTGAGCGCGTCCGAAAACCTCAATGACACACAACGATGACTGGTGATCCGAGTCGTGCTTATCTTTGTTGGTGTATAGGAGCCAACTTAAGCCCGTTTGCCAATCATGTCCGACGTACTTAGCTCAGAATTGTATGACCCATCCGTCTCTGGTAAATATAAACTCGAGCCATATGCTTATCGACCAACTATATTTTTAGCCCTCCACTAGCACGAAAAAGTTTTTTTTAGTAAGAGATAATAACGTAAAAAAGGGGTGATCAGAATCCGGGGACTTTTTTGTGAAGTGGGGTGGGGATGGGGACGGGGATAGGGCACACCGGGCTTCTGGGGGCAACGCAGTTAAGTGTGGCCTTTCCTTAATGAAATCCGGGGCCCGCCCCTGATTGCCCATCGTTTAAATGTGGTAATATGTCATGCATTATTCCTGTGAACATCATACTTAATACTCAAAGACGTCAGCGTGCAAAGCTCTATAGTCATTATATAGTGGGATAACGTGACCAAATGAGTTGCCGATCTCTAAAATGACACAGATGTTTTTTATCACGGTAAAAATATTCATCCTGCATTCATTGCTTGCTCTCGCAACTGGCTTTCACTGACTCACTGCCTTGTGAATCGTGGCTCATCTGGTCATTATGGGTTAATGCATAGAAGACCGCCGGAAGACCGCTGTAGCGTGAAGACGGAGGAGATGACGATGGTGAAGGTGCAGAGGATAGCGGCGGCCGTGCTGCCGTGGGCGGTGTCGTACAAAGTCTTCGCTCAGACACTGGGCCGGGGCGATCGCCGTCGGTCGCCGTCTTTCTGCAACACTTTGTGCTGCAGGCGCACGCTGCGGCGTCGTTCAAAGTCGCCCTGGACTATGGCCAAAAGGCGGGACTTAAAGGAGGAGGGCACAAAGGAGCTCCCTGATCGGTGGTGGTGACACATATGCCCAGTGACTGTGTGCGACGCTAGGGCGTCGCTGAAAGCTGACACGAGCTTGTGTTGCGGCTGATTTGGAAACCTGATCTCACGCGCATGTCGACGGAGATACGTCGTTCTGCTGTAGGTTGTGTTGTTCTGCTTTGGAACATGTTCTTTCGTGCTGATTGAAATGCATCGTTCTGCTGTGCGGCTTTATGACGACACAAGTTTGCTTCTATCGCTGATTCGGAAGTTTTGGTTTTTGTCTTCAGCGCACGTTAATAGAGACGCGTCGTTCTGCCATGAAATACGTCGTTCGGCTGTGGGATGCCTTGTTCTGCTATGGGATGCGTCATTCAGCTGTGGGATGGGTCATTCTGCTTTGTTGTGTTCTGACGGCACGGTATTGAGCTGCGACGCATCTCCGGCCTATGTCGATGTAAATACGTCGTTCTGCTATGGGATGCGTCATTCAGCTGTGGGATGCGTCGCTCCGCTTTGTTGTGTTCTGACGGCACGGTATTGAGCTGCGACGCGTCTCAGGCGTATGTCGATGGAAATACGTCGTTCTGCTATGGGATGCGTTTATCTGCTGAAATGCATCGTACTGCTGTTCCTGTGCAGCCACCACATTCTGTTGGGATGCGTTATGACGAAACGAGTTCGTGTTGTTACACTGATCTGAACGTCTTCGCTTTTGTCACTGGCGGGTGTCGGTTGAGTGCAGAAATATATTTCATGATTGTATGTTGCAAGTTAATCAACATGATAAAAAGGGTAACACCCTCGAGAGTGCTCAGGAACCCCAAAGGCGTTGGTTTTGTGCCTACAGAGAACCACATTTTACGAGGACCTTGGAAGGGGTTTTGGTCTCGGGGCGTCTCTATTTACAAAGCCCTCGGCGTCAGTGCAGGTTATCTCGCTCGAGAATGCTCGATTGTCTCAATATTCCAACTGGCCGATTATGGAGTTCAAGCATTCTCACGAGAGATAATTTGCGACGACGCGGAGAGTCTCCTAAAAAAAGAACGTCCCGACTCAAACGACCCCATCTTAAGTTCTCGTTAAGTATGGCTCTCTGCGGAAAGAAGATCGATCCCTTTGTACCAGTAGTAAAGACATTATTCTGCAGTTCTTTGACTCATCAGTCACTCTACTCACATTAATTGAGGGAGCTTAGAAGAGCATTGGGGAACTCAGATCACCATGGCGGGCTTAGCTCCCTCCCCCCCCCCCCCCCCCTCCACAGTATGTGAAGTGACACCCCTTATCCCAGTGGTGGATCCAGGATTCCCTAGCATTCCATGTTGAAGGGATGTCGTGATCGAGTACTGGAATATATTGAGGGTTTTCCAGGCTCACGTTCGCCCCCGCCCCCCTCTCCCGTCGCTTCCGCCGTCCCCACTGACGTGCAGCGGCTTCCTCTCGCTTCCCCTTCGCGCGCATCAGCCAGGCGCGCTTTGCCGTCCTCCGCGGGCCAGCTGCGCCGCCAGGCAGTCCGCGCAACCGCAGCGCATAATTGGTCGGCCCCGGTGCGCAGCGGCAGGGTTCGGAGAAGTCCGTCCGAAGCGCCCTTGGTGCTCGGCGAACGGCGTCGGGAACCGGCCGCGGCGTTCGCTCTCGGCCCTCCTCTCGCACGGCGGTGCGCTGCGGGCTCTGCGGCCGGCTGCGGGTTTCCTCCTGGCTGCGTCCTCAGGCATCAGTCGCGGCTGTGGGCCCGCCCTCTGTTGGTGCCTTCAGGCATCAGCCGCCCGCTGTGGGCCCGCCCTCTGGCTGCGTCTTCAAGCATCAGCCGCCGGCTGCGGGCCCGCCCTCTGTCGGTGCCTTCAGGCATCAGCCGCCGGTTGTGTGCCCGCCCTCTGTCGGTGCCTTCAGGCATCAGCCGCCGGCTGCGAGCCCGCCACTGCCGGCATCTGCAGTCATCAGCAGGTGGTGAGGGAGGGCCCCGTCAGCTGTCACCGTTCTGGGAACGCACGGCACGAGTAGCGACGAATGGGCACGATATGCATGAGTAGCGGCAGGCCGTGTGTGGGTGGCGGCGCCAAGCTAGCCGCCTCGACGCACTGCCTTCCCCATGCTGCTCCAGCCTGTTTCTGAAAGGGAAGAGGCGGCGGCGGGTGGTGCCTTGGTTCTGCTTGGTTCTGGTTGATTTAAGCGACGCTTGCTCATTGCGAGCCATGTGTTCCCCGCGCATTGTTAAGTATATTATACTCATTTCCGCTCCGGTGCGCGCAGATCCGGAATGAAAGTTCACATTTTTCAAAAGCAGTGCACCCATAAAACCTGCGGGCGCTGTAGGTGAGGTATGCAAAATTTTCTTCAGTAACATATCAGGATCCCCAATCTATCGCGTGGTCAAAGTTAAAGACGATCGAGTCACTTCGTCTCCGATTTTATCTCGATAGAGGTTTTATATCTGAGCAACGTTTCGTTCGTTTAAAGCTGCTCCAGCGATACTCGACCCTAGCTCGAGGTCCAGAATAAGAATAAAACCTCCAGTTGCTCTAGCAACTGGAGGCCTTATTCTTAAAGTAAAGAAACTCCACGGGAATATAGCTCTGTTATCATAATAATATCACGTAAATCCAGAACGTCACAGAAAAACCGTGAACCACATCGGCACGCTCGCCACTTGTTTTATTTATGCCCCAGCGACCACTGGCCTCAAGGGAAGTACCGTTATCTTTTCGACGAGGCCATACAGCAGTCAGCTGATGCGCTGCGTTGTGAATGGAACCTGCGTTCCCTTTTTGTCGGAGTTTTTACCTTCATTTTTTGCCGGCGCGTTTGTGCTACGCTCGGAGTGGGCGGCCAGCGCGCCGGCGCACATTCCACGCGCTGCCGTCTGCGGCCGGGCACGGGCCCTGCGGCGGCCACCGCTCCGGCGACCGGTGGAGTGACGTCAGCGCCGGCTCGATGATCCGCGAAAGAGGAGCGCGGTGCGCAGCGCGCGCGGCCGGCGCTCGTCGCTCCCGCGGACCGTCTTTCACTGGCGGTGGCTTTGACCTTGTTTCGGCGGCCGACCAATCGGAGGGCGCGCTTGCCGGCCGCGGTGCGCGGATTTTGTTGTCGGTCGGCGGCGGCAGTGGTGTAGGTGCCTGGAGCGGGGTGAGGGGGCTGCCGGGTGCCGCGACGGCTGGGGACAGTGCGCGGATCGGTTGTGGTCGCTGGCGCTCCAAGGTTCGGGCGGAGCGCTCGTTGGATACTGCCTTGCTGGCTGAAGGGTGAGTGCCGACTGGATGGCACGGGGTGCACTGCATGCAGTAGTCGGCCGCGCCTTCGTAGTGTGTATTTCCTCATTCTTTCATTATGCCAGATTTCAGTTAAAGGACCTGTTTTGCCAGTCATGCCTCTTTCTGCTTTTAGGTCGGCTGCTCAATAAAAGTGATTGAACACGTCAGCTGATGCACAGTTGCAGGGACAGCGCACCAAAGCGGATTTATGTTGGGTTGTTGTGTTACCTATTACGTTTGTGGGTGAGCTAAGTATGCATGGGCAAACTGGACGTACGTTAACTAAGGACAAACGATGCCGTTTACGGCGCAGCACACAGCAATATCAAAAGTTACCGCACATTAAATCGCTGGCTCGAGCCGAGCACGGCACTCTGGGACTCTCGCTGGTTGCCGCTACAAATGCACGATAATATGAGGACAAAATATTGACGGCGAAATAGCTTATGCCGACTGCGGGGATGCGATCTGTCATTGGTGCCAACTCGGTACTCGTACGTTTAAGGACCAGAATTTTCCAACGAACACGGCGAGTCAGGCAAAATTTTTGATGGAGGTTTCAGATGAATCCTTCGCGGCATGCCCATTGCCATTCGGCCCTGGCCGCTGCGTCACAAGGATGTTACCTGGCGAGCGCGCCGGTACCGAGACCGCAGATAACCGTCAGAGCACGACAGGTCGGCGCTGACACCAGGACGTGAGGTGTTCCCGGAGGCCTGCAGAGAGCGCGTTCTCACGTTCGTTCGGATGGGTAATGGTACTCCGAATGCCAGCATAACACACGGCGCGGTTTCGCGTGCCGGCGAGCCGGCGAGCCTCGCGATTTCTGCTATTTGAGCCTGGACGGCTTCGGTTTCCGTTATGCGCTGATTGTTACCAACTGCTCTGTTGTTGCCAACTGCTGCTGACGGTGTGGTCAGTCCTCGACAGTATTTACGGAGCTCACTTGGAGGCACGCACCTGGAGGTCACAGGAGGCTCTGCTTGGGACTGTGGTATTTACTTTTGCCATGTAATTGTGGTGTTTGAAGTGAAGTGAAGTGAAGTATTGTTTTTTGTCATTGCTTCATACTTTCCAAGCATTAAATGTGAGCATGAAGATCTACGTGTGAGTTGAATATCATCGCAATCTCTACGTGCTGATTGAGCGTCTCATACGGCGTTATACAACGACATTTGTGGCAGCTGGGATACACGCAATCACACGTGCAATACGAATTGACAAATGATAACGTCTTTGAAAGGCATGTATCTAAAACGATGGCCTTTGACCCAGTTTTGGCTTCTTTCCTTATGGATTGCTGGAATGTGGTGCCACCCAACTCATGGGTTTGTGTGCATTATTTCATGAGAGTGATACCCCCAATTTTAATATACCGTACCCCCCCCCTCCCCGATGCTACTTTTGGCCCAATATTTTATGCTGGAATATAACAGGATTGCGTAAAAAGTAACTATCACACAAAGCCTGCTATCTTTGCTAGTTCATGAACATGCTTCCTTTCCTGCTCAAATAAAGAAATGCTGATACAGTCGTGTTAAAAATATCATCGTTAGAATGGAGTGGGCTAAATTCGTTGAGGAACGCACATTTCAGGAGAAACTGGACTTCCAGATATGTCCAGTGCAATCGTTCGAGGAATTATCGTACTGAATAGGACCCGTGTGGTTACCAGGCCGCTCAAGGAGAGGAGACTGGAGACTGGAGACTGGAGACTGTGGCTGCAGACTGACGGCAGAACAGAACAACGACGGAACAAGCTATAAAAATCACTTACCTGGCCTTCACAGGGCTTCGAAACACGCCGAGGGCCAGGCGTTCGCGGGGAGGCCTGGACGGGGAGGGGGAGGGCATGAAGCGGCGGACCGACGCAGGGACCTCGGCGGACACGGACGGGAGCGGCGCGTCGTGCGCAGCGGCCGGCGCCAGCCGGGACCGGCCGGTCAGACTCCGCCGGCCCGATGGAAAAATAATGGGCTGGACACGGAAGCCGGGGGCGCTGACCGGCGGACACCGGGCGTCCGGCGTGTCGACTCCGGGTCTCGAGAGAGGGGGGGGGGGGGGAGAGTGGCGAGCCCCGTCGACGCCCGCTGCACACCACTGGTGCCGATTCGTTGGTCGAGCAGCCGGTGGTGGGGAGGACTGAGGCCGCGATCGGGCCGGAGTTGCCGCGTCCTAGAACAGATGCCTCGCTGGAGGATGCGGTGGGGTGTGGAACGGCAGCGGTTTGGGGCAGTCTGGGCAGAGCCGCAGCGGCTTGGGGCAGTCTGGGCAGGGCCCGCGGAAGGCGAGGCATGTCCTGTGCCAGACCAAGGCCCTGGCAGATCGCCGGTGGTCACGGCCGAGCGCCTGCCCGAGCTCGCTGTTCGAGCCTGCCAGAGGGCTTGCAGCAGAGACGCACGTCGGTTCGAACATGCGGCCATGTTCATAGGCTGTTGGATCCAGGTCGCAGTGACTGGCAGGTCGGACCATTTTCATGTTTGACCATACGAATGGCACCAAACCAGAAGCAAGCCCCGGTGGCAGTACAGATGTAGTTTATCAGCGTCTCGCCGTAACGGCGGCAGTTCGCCAGCAATTAATCATCAATCGGAGACTGCGGCAGGAATGTCAGTCTTCCCGCCGCCTATCGGACGACGCATTTCTGGGTATCCTTGGGTATGCTACATTTGTGGGTATCCTCGGGACAAACCTTGCTGTCTTTCAACCGCAGGTAAGGAATGCAAATGCTCTGTACGGAAAGGGGCGTCTCAATAATTGTCACTTATGGTTGTTTTAGAAACCCCGCAGCTCAGTCTGGAAAATCTGATTCGTTCAGGAAAGGAATGCTATTGAAGATCACGAATAGGTCCTGAAGGCTAATGTTTCACTATGGGTGCAAACCAACGTACCGTACTTTGGTACTTATCCGATGATACTAGAATATGAGCAGCCGAAAAGTACCGAAGTAAAAGTGGATCGAGTTACATCAGCATCTGCGTGGTCTGTGCATATTATGAAGAAATTGCACGAGTTAAGCCAATTTCTTACTGAGCTGCAAAGCTGCGTTTCCACCCGCACCAAAGCTGCCTGAAATGAAGTAAATTAATCTCTGTCTTACGCAGAAAGTTGCGCTTCAAGCTGTGGGTCGCCCCTGTCTTCTTGAAGCATTGTGTAGGTTCTAGGAGTATTCAGTCAGATGTTCTGTGGAAATGACAGTGAGCTGCTCCCTGAGATCGCAGAATGCGGCGACTGAAAACTGCGGTTTGCTTTTTTTTATTCAGCGTTTTCCTGTTAATCCGTAGATGTGTCAGGAGTACGAGGGTTTTAAGGTTTTTAGATGCATATAACTGTGATTCGCCCTTAAAGGGCTGACATTTTTACATTCTGGAATGGGAGATGAGATACCATTTTAATTGTGAGCTGGCAAAATGCCTTAACGAGTTACTGCCTGTAAAACCATGCTGTGCCACTTTTCACTACGGCTCTTATTCGCAATGACGTGGATGAAACAATATACGGGCTGGTGTACGAGGTGACGCTGTGTGGGGCCGCAATGTACGAGCGGCAAGCCCGAGGCCGGTTGCGTTTTGCCGGCTTGTCGCCGTACTCAGGTCACGCAGAGAGGCGCAGATAGGCCGCCGCCCCCGCGGGCGGAGAAGGGAGAGGGGCGGAGAGCCGCCGCCGCTGCCACGGTTGGCTGCTGACGGCTTGCACGCGCCCTCCGTCAGCCGACGACCATCGATTTTCGACGCGTCGGCGCGGGGGGAGGGCGTCCCGCCGCCTGGGGCCGCTGGGGAGGGGAGTGGGTGGCAGGGAGGAGTCTCCTCCCCCGAATCAAGGAACGGACTTTTCTGTCTGCTAGGGACAGCCTCTGTCAGCAAAGCGCGGCTGGCGCCAGCGGCTGAGCTGCGGCCACCGAAGCCCACGGGAGTTACGACCGTGACCGTTCGTTTTGCGTGGGCGGTGGAGAAGATTCAGATTCCGCGTAGCTTGTTATATTACCCGCTCAGTGGTTGGTTTCTAGGTACCACTTCTCAATCCGTCAGACGTTGCAGAGGCGGCCTCACGTACATTTGTGGAATGAGTCGGAACAGTGGCGTTTTCGGCGAAATTGATCAACTACTGAACTTCCCAGACCGTTCTCCAGGAGCCAGGCGACGTTTCAGAATCCCCACATGGGCAGGCGTCGCACGTGGCATGCCACGCCTCTCGCGGAACCCGTTGCCTGGCATGGGCGGAAGCGGCCGCCGGTGACCGCCACCTCAGCACCGGCTGCTGCTGGCCTGTCGTGAGCGATGGCCCACACCACGGAACAAACGTGACCGCCGGCACGCGGCGGACAACCGGCGCGCGTGCCCGCTGGAGCGTGACGGACGTGCACACGCCGTGCCGGCGGCCGCCCATCTCAGCCGCGTCCCCGCACAGCCCGGCGCCGGATGACACCCGAGGGTGCTCTGATCTCCAGCCGGAGATTCGATCGTTTATCATGCCGGAATGAATGGAATTGCACGGAGTCGAACGTGACGCCCAGAGCAGGTGTGGCTCTGGTGACCCGGCCGGCGCCATGAAGCGGCCCCGGTGAGTCATTGATCCCTGACGTAGCTGCCGGCTACTGTGTCGATCCAGCACTGCGCTCGCCTGATCACCCGGTGTACGATTGCACCTGCGCGGTGCGCCCCGTCCGAGCCGCGGCTGGCCTGGGCAGAGGCGCCGCGGCGGCCGCCCGGCGCCGGGCTCGGCCGCGGACCGGGCTCGCTCGCCTCCGGCCCAGTTCGCCGGCGGCCATTATGGTCGGACACCAGTCGGCTTTGAAGCGGCGTGGGTCCGGTTACCGGCGGCGGGTGGAGCGGGATGTGGCACCACTGCTCTGCGACGCCGCTGCTCCTCCGTCGGCTCGCAGCATTGTCGGGGAGTTCGCACATGACGTGCGTTTCGTCACCGGTTCGGGTCCCGAGCCCCGAAGGCTAATCGTTCACAGGTGCCGACAGGTCCGGTTTTGATTCATTCACTATTTACGATAGCAGAGGCGTCAGGTTTGCGGCGTCGTCGCTCGGCCCGCGAGGGGGGGGGGGCGGTCGACTCCGCCGTGCCCTTTTGCCAGAGGGCGGCGCGTTTTTTGACTCCCAATAGAGCGCTGTGGGCGCGGTGGGAGCGCTGGGAAGGGGGACCGGACCGTGCGTTGTGCTGACGCGGCGGTGGTCCGCTCGTCCGCTGGCTGTCGTCCCGGTTGGCTGTCAGACTCCGCCCGCGCCGGCGGCAGTTCGTGTTTCGCGCGGCCGAGTCGCTCTACGCGCGGTGTGGGGTCGTCGGCCTCACCGGCTCCGACGGGGGGATCGAAGTCGTGGAGAGTTGGTGTGTATGGGACCGCGTATGACAGTGTGGTTCCGAGTGGCCGGAGGGAAATAATGCATTGACATGAAAGACTATCGATGGTAAGACAAACGCGCACCCTAGACGTTAACTTGCTTGTCCCGTACAGTTTGTCTCGATCCGTCGCCCCTCGTTGTTGACCACAGAGATCAGACCAATGTAGGCGAACGCTTCACAGCCGGGCCTCTGACGAGCAACCTTCGTCACTGGCGCTCCCCGTCGGGAGTGAGTCGGGTGACCCAGGGTGACTGCGGCGGCGCGTCGAACGTGTGGCTCCGAGAAGCGCGTCGAGCGTGTGGCTCGGAGAGGCGCGTCGAGCGTGTGGCTCAGAGAGGCGCGTTGAGCGTATAGCTTCGAGCGGCGCATCGAGCGCGCGACTCTTGAGCGGCGCGTCGAGAGTGTGATTCTGAGTGGCACGTCGAGAGTGTGACTCTGAGTGACGCGTGGATCTTATGGCTCTGAAAGGCGCGTCGAGCGTGTGACTCTGAGCGGCTCGTGGATCTTATGGCTCTGAAAGGCGCGTCGAGCGTGTGGCTCTGAGTGGCGCGCATATCTTCTGGCTCTGAGAGGCGCGTCGAGCGCGTGGCTCTGAGAGGCGCGTGGAGCGCGTGACTATGATCGGCGGGCGCGAGAGGGCTCAGAGTGGGCGGCTGGCGGCTCGCTGCCGGCCGGCCACTCCGCCGGCCGGAACGGACGCGCGCGCTGAAGGCGCGCGGCGATATTAATTTGTTAGGGCTGTGTCGACGCGGGCGGAAGGCGCCGCTCGCCCGAGGCCGATCCGGGCCGCCAGGCCAACCATCTGGCGCGAGGCGATGGGCCGCTGGAGACGGCTGGGAAGCACCACCGGGCCGATCCGTGCAGGAAGTTGAAGTCGAAGCCGAAGCGCTCGGTGGGAGAGGAGGTGCTGCGCAGAGCGCTGAGGGACGACGGACGCGAACTGGAAAGGGATCCCCGTCTGCGTGGGTGCGGCGGGCACGGCTGCTTGTTGGGCGCGTGCGGTGACTGGGACGTCATTTGTGCGGCGGGGAGGACTGAACCGACTGACTGTGTCGTGCTGGGCTGTGCTGGGAGGGCTGGACTGACTGACTGCCGTGCTGGGCTGTGCTAGGAAGACTGGACTGATTGACTGTGCCGTGCTGGGTTGTGCTGGGAGGACTGGACTGACTGGCGGTGCCGTGATGGGCTGTGCTGAGAAGACTGGACTGACTGGGTGTGCCGTGCTGGGCTGTGCTGGGTGGACTGGACTGACTAACCGCCGTGCTGGGAGGACTGGACTGACTGCCTGTGCCGTGCTGGGCTGCGAAAGACTCACTCGTGTGTGTTCCGACGGCCGTGCTCGCAGCGCTGAACATTGTGTCAGGCCGACGGGATGGTGACCCTGATATGATTTGACCCACTTGGACGGGCTTCTGGATCCGCCGTGCACGCCAAGGACAGGGGCTCAGAGCAGGGGCGTGTGAGGCTCGTGGGGGCGAGACTGAAAACAATAAATCATTCGCAGCGGAGGCGAACGTGAAGTGTGAACCGCCCTCGTTAGTGAAGCTCCGGTGGCAATGACCAGCTATTGAGCGGAGATGCTCCAGACGTCGCTTATGACCTGTCACAGCTGCACTGGACGTTCTCCATGAAACGCTGCCGCGCTGTCAGGTTTCAGCATTCACACATGCAACTCGTCAGATGACTGCATCGTGTCCTCCGTTCAATGCGCATCTGTGCTGCGCGGGGTGTCGCGCTGCGTGCGTGCGTGCGTGCGTGCGTGCGTGCGTGCGTGCGTGCGTGCGTGCGTGCGTGCGTGCGTGCGTGCGTGCGTGCGTGCGTGCGTGCGTGCGTGCGTGTGTGTGTGTGTGTTCTGGGAACGCGGCCAGCGCGCCGCTGCTCGTCGGCGGGCCGCCAGCCGGTGCGCCCGGCTCCACCTGCGGCTTGGCGCCGTGGTCAGCCGGCGCGCGGCACGGCGTCCTGTCCCGCCGGACAACACGGCGACCCGCCAGCTGGCACATGACGCGGCGTAACACGACTGGGCACGGCACGGCGTGGCAAGACACAGCACAGCACAGCACAGCATGGCACGGCACAGCACGGCATGTCACTCCCATACGGCACGACACGATGCTGTCTCATACGGCACGACACGACGCTGCCCCATACGACACGACACAACACTGCCGTACGGCACGACACGACACTGTGTCATACGGCACGACACGACACTGTCTGATATGACACGACATGGCACCGTCCCATACGGCACGACACGGCATTGTCCAATACGGCACGGTACGTCACTGCCCTTTGCAGTGCGATACGACAATGTCCCATACGATACGTCGCGGCAATGTCCCATACGGCATGGCACGACGCTGTCCTATACGGCACGACACGACACTGTCTCGTACGGCACGAACCGACACGACACCCCCCGCACCGACACGACACGGCCCGCACCGACCAGCAATCCCAGCGGCGTAACGACGGAGACGCCAGGGCACTTAACACCGTGCAGGGTTTGCGGTGACGAATCAGGCTGGGGTTAGCCGTACGCGCGCCCCGGCGGGTACCCGCGGGGTCGGATCACTCACTGTCGAGATGACGGGCGATCGCTACCGAACGGCCTGGGACGTGCGATGCGCACGCATTGGGCCTCACGGCATTAACTCGAGTTGTGCAGCCTCTGCATCTGTGCACCCGACGCGGATGCTATGGCAGCGTCACGTATCGCTGGTAGGTGTTTGCGATTCGAAGGCAGCGAAGGCATTTCCTTGGGAGCGGAATGGAGTGGAGCGGCATTGATCCGCGGCTCGAACTAAGCCGCTGTGTCCACATTAGTGAGTTGCACCGCGCAGTGTGTGCTCTGCTGGCTGCAGTGACGGTGTAGTCACGCTGTGTGGTGTCCTCGCGTACGTGGCCACAGAGCGATGCCCTCCCCCTGCATCAATGTTTGACGTCCGTGCGGCGGCATGCGACGCCGGGGCGCGCATGCCGCCGGCGCGCACTCCGATCGGAGAGTGTGCGCTGACTGTGCGGTGTCGTCGACCCGAGCTCCCCTGAGAATGTGGACTGGTTGTGCGATGTCGACCCGAGCTCCCCTGGGAATGTGGGCTTGCTGTGCGATGTCGACCCGAGCTTCCCTGGGAATACGGGCTTGCTGTGCGGTGTCGACCCGAACATCCCTGGGAATATGGCTTGCTGTGCGGTGTCGACCCGAGCTCCCCTGTGGACACGGACTTGCTGTGCGATGTCGACCTGAGCTTCCCTGGGAATGTGGGCATGCTGTGCGGTGTCGACCCGAGCTCCCCTGTGCACACGGACTTGCTGTGCGATGTCGACCCGATCTTGCCGCACCGCGATGGCAGATCGGCTGCGGCGACGGGGACTGCGGCTGGTCATGAAATGAGTCTCTGAGGTGGGAACGGGACACAAACTGTTTGGTGGCCGGAAGTCAACTGCGCACCGGTAATGATGACTTTATGGTCATTTGGAAAAGTTAGAACCGAGGCTTTGCGAGAGCTCACAGCTCAAAAACGGGCTTCTGAAACCCTCACCACCTGCAGCCCAATCTGTAATTACGCATTGCCTTTTGGTTCCATCGATTGAAGCCTCGGAGTACATAATAGGGCGCTTTTGGATCACTGCAGTCCACAGCCAACAGGTTGGATGGCTAGAAAAATGGGACGTCCCCCCCCCACGATACCAATCCGACGTCGATCGCTCGCAGCGTACACCCGGCTGCCGCGTCTCAGACTCGCTCGGCGCGGACGCCTCGGGCCGCCCGCCGCACCCCCGGAGCCCGGATGGGAGCCAGATCGGAGCCGGGCTCCGAGCCGGCGTCCGCCTGCCGAGGGCGACCAGCAGCGAGGCGTCCTCCCGGCGCCGGCCTCGGGGCGGCTGGGCGCCCGGTATATTGTCGCTCGTCATGCCATATGAATGTCCGTGCGACTGTGCGTGCCGCGGCACCCACCCAGGTCATGTGCCGCACGCTGGCGCCGCGCAGGGGCAGCTCCGCGCGCGACACGGCCGCAGGCGACGGGGGGCAATACTGCGCGCGAGCGGACATGACGACATCGTGGACATCTTGTACGACTGTGCCCGCGCAGAATCTAGTAGCCACCCCCTCCCCCCGACTTCTAAGATAAGCTGTGATCCATTTGGCACGGGCGCTGGCGTCCGTCCTCTGTTGTACACGACCTTGACTTTTGCTTCTACGCTGCAGATATGGCACTGAGTATTTGTTTTATCTTGCAGTTGACTGCGCCACGCATGACACTGCGCTGCGGATAACCGTGAGCGCTGATTCTGTGATGATCTAACTGGTGCCCCGCGCCGCATATGCCCCAGTGCAGCAGGCGACGGTGACGGCTGCTTCTGTGTTGACCTGACAGAGTAACTCCTGTGCCGCAGATGACTACAGAGGCCGCAGGTCGGGGGCCGTGAAGATGGCTCTCGGGCAGGCGCTCTGGCTGTGTACGATCTTCCTGGTCCTGCCCGCCGGTAGCTGGGCCAGCGGTAAGTGGCACGGCGACGGAGGGGGGCATGCGTGCATATCGGGGGCGCGTGCTGTCCCAGCGTTGTGCTTGGGAGAAGGGGGGGGGGGGGCAGTTGTCGTGAGTTGTGAGACCTTTGGTTGGTGCGAATGCACCATAGTAGAAGATTGCTGGAGAAACCATGTCGCTCTTCGCGTTGCTTATTCCAGAATTTGTCATTTTGCTGTTCGCCGCGCGCTGTGGAGTCAAGTCGGGTACAGCGCCCGGAGCTCCAGCGCATAGGAAGGAGACGACATGCGATAACAAATGCCCTGCAATGAGACCTCATTTACTTCGCTGACCCAGTCTCCAAAGATCACATTTACGCCACTGACCCAGTCCCCAAAGATCACATTTACACCGCTGACCCAATCCCCAATTTTTTATCACGTTTTTATCACACTATCACATATCACACAAAAAATCACATTTACGTCGCTGACCCAATCACTAAAGATCACATTTACGTCGCTGGCCCAATCCCCGAATATCAAGGGTCGGACGTACCTTGCGTCTGTGGCGCTTTCGATGGTTGACCCGTGCGGATCACGGCGTTAACTCATTATTTAATCATACAATTACCGGCTAAGCACTTTTGCACAGATACACCCATGCTGCCGTGTCAGAATTTGACGCCGTGGCTGGACCTGCTTTGCTTTAATTATACTCGGGCTGTGTTGCCCGTTGTCGTGAAATACTGATACCAATGACGGTAATGGTGATGAGTCGAAATATCTGATTTCGTTGAAAGAGTAAGGCCGTTGATATTTGCGGGTCCGGGCCGGCCATGCATGGCCACTATTGAGCACATAGCCACGCCTCTACAGAGGAAGATGACTCGATGTTAGCAGAGGAACACGGCCGTTCCATCGCAGTAAAATCGCTCGCACGTTGCTTGTAAGAATAGGCTGTTGGTTGGTTCAAAACATATCAGCTACTGGATAATCCCCGACCCTGTTCAGGCGTTCTGGTCTGGTGCAAGTTACGGCTAAGCCAGCATGACGCAGACGGCCAGAATATCGCAAAACTGTGGAATTAGCCACCAATTAGAGACCGGCTTCCCAGGATCGCTGCCAACGCTAGTCGTCCGTGACACCGCGTTGCTGGCAGGCCGTTAACAGGTCTTTTTGCATAATTGGTGCCGCATTGCAGGCACTGTGCCATGTGACACAATTCCTGGCAGTTGCATGCTTTATGGGTGTCAGGCTAACCAACTGGCCGTTGGGAGTTGGCTAATCACGTGCTGGCGCGTCCGGTGTACGGACCTGTCGCATGGGCGCGCTTCACACGGACTGCTCGGGGCCGCCGGCGAACGCAGGCCGGCCGGAAACGCTCACTCTGTCGCCGCCGGAAACGGCGCCGGCGGTAACCGCCGCCGATGGCCGCCATGTCAATCGGCCTGCCGTTGGCGGCGGCGTCGCGCGCCGCCCGCTTCCCGCGAATTCGGGGCCGGTGGCCGCGCGCCGGCCGGCGATTACACCCGCGCTGCACGGCGCCGGTCGCGGCGGCGTCACTCCCATATCGGCCCGGCCGCGGCTGTAATTGAATAATGCGCCGAGCGACCGGAAGCGCGGAGCGGCGCCGGCAGCGGCGGCGGCTCGGACGCCGGCCGGCGCGCCGCGGCGTGCAGCGCGGCGCTGAGCCTCGGGCGGCGCGCGGGACGCGAACGCTGGCGGGCCGCGCGGCGAGAGCGGGTGGGTCGGGGCAGCCGGCTGGCGTCCGCTTCGCTCGGCGCGAGCGAGACGGGACGTGCAGCGATGCTCGCAGCTCGGAGATGTGAGGCGTGCCTTCGCATGCATATTGGATTTGGCCGTATGCAGATTTTGACTCGTTCGTGATAGGTCTGAGCCCTGCAGGGATCGGAATATGCGTAAGTCCGTGGGGGCAAAAGTTAGCGCGCGGGCTGTGCGTGGCTCTCAGATGGCGCGGGATACGCACGTATACCGTCGGAAAAATGCGCCCTTACTGTGGGTTCAGAACGACATGCAAATTGCGTGTTGACTTACGCACTACCCGACTCACGAGTTGTTGGTCCCTCCCTCCCGGGCATCGTAATCGGGTCCTCAGGGGCGCAGTCACGTGGTGTCGCCCGGGTCAACCCCCCCCCCCCCGTTATGAAATCGATGGGATGCATTTAGATATGCTTTGATAAATGTTGACGTTTTGATATTCGGGTTGTACAGATACAACTGAACAGATAAAGAATTAGTGGCATTGTTTTACGCCAGGCAATAAGGTCCGTGCGTGTATGGCACGCTTAGCCGGGTTTTCAGCGAAAATGTGAGTTGAGATCATCCCCAGTTGCTACATGCGCCCCAGCCGGTCCTAACATATCACATTATCCCGACCATATGTCGCCAGTTGTATGTGTCAACTTAGATCATATGCGATCGTTGTTCCATGACTGCAATCTTGGAAACACGTCGAGATCGGGCACCAAGGTGTTCGTGCATGCTCGCACACCATGGGACATCAACTCGGCGCGTTGTGACGCATGGTTTTTTCGACGATTGTTTTCGCTTCTGCTCAACGATGTTCTGTATTCTGAACTTTGGGGCCATTCCAAATCTGATGGATTGATCCTGCAAAGAAAACAAGCGTTTTTGTCAGATGTTGTGACATATGACGCGCTGTTAAACGATTTCATGTCATAATCACTAAGTCTGGGACCGAGCTGAGGAGCGGTGCGCAAACCTTTTACGAAATGTAAGGGAGCTTAAAGTTGCAATTGGCGATTGGACCCAACCGGACCTGTGCCGACCCTATGAAGTGCTCTTGACAGGCTTGCAGCCACAATTATTACTGATGGCATCGCAGACGTCATGGCATGCTAATGGCATAAACCCATAGGCGTAAAAGGAGGACGCTTTGACAAGAAGATAGCGTCATGTTTTAAGGTTTATGACGTGCGAGTAACGTTATTTCATTTTAAATGGATGACGCACACGAACCTTTGCCGTGCAACATCGTATGACGTCATTTGCTGATGGGTCAGTTAATTTGCCAACTCGTTATGATAAGAATCAGTGCGGCAACACGTAGCGTCATGCTAATTTGATTTCAGATTTCTCGCCGCAACATAGCCGCTTGAATCGAGTCAAGATCCTACGCTTTGTAGGTCAAGTTCGAAATAGTGTCACGTAAACCTATATTCGCGAAGTCAGGTCAGCTACTTGAATGACATCCCTCCCGATACAGCAGTTGGCTAGAGCGTCTGCCTTTCGTTCCACCCACCCGTAGCGAAGTGGGATCGAGTCGCTTCAGGCGCTTGATTATTTGCCCTGGCTGGGATGGCCTGCGGCCGGCGGAAGCGGCCGTGCCAAAGGTTAGGTGATGTCAGAGGGCAAGACGGACCGTCGAACATTGCTACATTAAATTGATGTTACGGTGCGTTAAACTTTGTCACCAAATTCTGCCTTGGACCTGGAATTTCACAATCGGGTGGTCAGGGCGGTGACTCGCCCGTTACGCGAGACTCACCGGTTAGCGTGAGCGCTGATCTCATGAATCCATCCATTTAAATAGTTCGCACCAAATCTTTAAAAAATATATATGCAAGCTATATCTTGGCTGGTGGCTTGAAGAAAATGAGGTTGATGATGTCGTATGACCTGTGTTTCCAAGTGCATGCGGGAAGGGACGTGTTCGTCAACATTTCCAGTTGGGGGGCGGGCTCTCAAACCTCTCGCGAAGTGCCGCCACCTAAAGCCACCAACGACTGGTGTTGGCTATGCGGCTTTCCTGGTATAATTTCCCGGTATTATTTCCGGACATTTCTGGTGATGAGTAAATGGCCGAGGACTGGCAAGCGGGTGACTGATTTGACAGCGGTCCCGCCCTGACGCGAGCTTCTCAAACCTGTTACGGTGGTAAAGGCTGGCGAGGCATGCTTCTGGGCTGGGCGCATGTACGACCGCAACCAGATGTTCATAACCTCTGGGTGCCTGTTCGCGGATGACGTGGTTATGACCGTGAGAAATAGACATGTTTTGTGGGTCGTGTTGGCGTGATGTGCTGTTCCTGATATATGTTCGCTCCATGAACGGCAAGCGTTCTCAGTTAGATGTGGCTAGTGAAATTCAACGAAATTTATACACTTCTCATCATCCTTTAAACGTGAATGACATCTTGCACGGCGCGGAATTATCCACTGATGCGGCTTTCCTGGCCTGCACCAACAGCCGTTTCACATTAAACGTAATGAGCCGGCGCGGCAACCATCTTTCCGGGAAAAGATTAGCTTTCAAGGTCTGCAAGGACCAACTCACCAGAGCATGGTTCTATCATGTTACCAACTGATGGAATAAAATGCTCCTGGTCGACTTCTCTAAGCCAGCTATGCCTTAAAAAGATGATGTTGGTCCATTATCTCTCTACTATGTTTCACAAACGACTCGGCACCGCAGGTCTAATGGAATGTCTCAAACCTTCTTGGAACGAATATTTCGCTGATCCGGAGGGCAAGAGGGCAGAACACGGGTAGCTGCTGATCACTAAGTCACCTGCGGCAACGCTGTGATCAGTCGCATAGTTCATAACGGAAATGGCTACACGACACATTCTTGAGACGGCCGCTTTCCGTCCCCAGCTACTTGCCAATACATTACTTCCATTCATGAATATACAGCCGCTTTTGAGCGTAAATGTCGGGCGAGTGCCGTCTGCAGGCCGCCATAGCGAGCGGATGCTAGATGCATTCTTCATGGCTGCCGGCGTGGGGTGGCCTGCCACGGTCTGGGCGTGCGGTGCCGCTGGCTTGGCCTGCCGCGCCGCGACATGGCTCGGCATGATCCACGGCCCGGTGTGGCATGAAGATGCGATATTTCCGGTGTGGTGTAGCGCGAGCGTGCCGCACCCCCGGCGCGACCTGCTGCGGCATAGCGTGGCCTGCCGCGACCAGGCACGGACCATGGTCTGGCGTGGCGTGGGCGTGCGACGCTCCGGCGCGCCGCGGCGTGGCCTGGCGCGGCGTAGGCGTGCGACGCTGCCGGCGCTCCGCACTGCTGCGGTCGCGGCTTTCCAGCCGGTCGTTCCCAGTGCACGGCGGCTGTTTGCACGGTGATCGACGGCTGGGAAGGCGATGCGCGGAATGCGCGCGGCACTTCCTCTCTGGGAATGCCGGCGCGGCGCGGCGCAGTGGCCCGTCCAGTTGCGGGGCGATCGCGCCGCCCGGAATGCGCCGGATTTGAATGCGCCCCCGCGCGCGGATTGGCGGGGTGGGAGGAGCGTCAGTGGAAGGGCCGCAACCGCTCCGTGGAAGGTGGCTGGATGTGTTTGTGGGCTGCCATCGCGTCAGTTTTGCTCGGGCTATTGCAAGCCTCGCACATTAAAAATGGTTCGTACCGCTGGGCAGGTTGGATGCTTTCCCCAAGTCTGAGGATTCTGATCCTTAGCCGGGGTTTAAGGCTCGGGCCCAGTTATCAGGCTTCTAACAAGTGGCAAGTACTGGCGTTCGTATAATTGTAGTTATTTGTATTTTCCTAAAGATAGCAAATGCTGTCATTCATTATGCATGGACATGTAACACGCGACTGAAAAATAGCTGTTAGATCTCACTCCTTTTGAAAAGCAGTGCCGGCGGCGTTCTGTTGACCCCGTACCGCATCCATTGCCTTTCCACGCCATATGGTGCCTACGCTACATATAGACCTATGTGAACCAAGTGTTCACCTCGGCTTGAGGGTCTTCTTCCCATCATTTGCTCCGACCGCGACCTAGAAGCCATGATGATCCGTTGGTACAGGTCGTGTGCCGCAGCGAGGCGTGTGGTTACCGGGCACGACTGGAGAGACCGGGCACCACGCATGCTGGTCGCCACATCTGGAGTCGGTACGGGACAGCAGGCATCGCATTTATCATCGCATTTAGCATCGCACTGGCGGCATCGCACTAATGGCATCGCACTGACGCGTGGTGCTGGGGAAGTTGAGTCCGACATAACCATATAACGCGTGTGAGCAAAACTGCGCTACTAGGTTGTACGCAATTCTGAATCAATGACCTACTTGTGGTATGGTGCTAAGACTTCTTGGAGATGACAAATGTCAACATTCATTGCGCACAGGACACATAATAATGAAACCATCCAAGTGTTCCAAGCCATCGAAGACAATAGACCAAAAGCAGCTTGCCTTGCTCCTGACGTTAGAGACGAATTGGAAGGACCTATCAAAACCGGTGCACTCCTTCATTGCAGTGTTCAGTCTTTCTTCCTCATCCTCGTCCAACGGACTGAACGCGTCCGTACACAAATGGCTCCCTAATTCATTGTCCGACCTCTGGACCGTACTCCATCCACAGCTCTATGTGCGTGTGTGTGAGTGTGTGGATATGTCGGTGTATATATATATATATATATATATATATATATATATATATATATATATAAATGTGTGTGTGCGTGCGTGCGTACGTGTGTGTGTGTGTGTGTGTGTGTGTGTGTGTGTGTGTGTGTGTGTGTGTGTGTGTGTGTGTGTGTGTGTGTGTGTGTGTGTGTGTGTGTGCGTGTGCGTGTGCGTGTGCGTGCGTGTGTGTGTGTGTGGTCTCCGCCCACAATGACGCGTTAGGCGGCACATTTCTCATTTTTTAAATGTTTGATGAACGGTCGGCGGGCGGGGGCGAGAGCGCGGACGCTTACCTTCATCGCTCGGCCGTACTGATCGATTGTCGGGCCCGCCCTCCTGACCCCGCGGAGCCGGGCGTGGGACCGGCGGGCCCGCTCCACTCGCCGGCCCGTGCGCTGTAGCTGCGGCGCCATGTGCGCATCGGGGCCATCGAGCGCCGCTGCGCCGAGCTGAAATTCTACGCAGCTGTGACCCGCGCCCGGCTCCATTGCCCCGGTGCCGCGTGGCCCGGAGTAGTGACCCGCTCCCTCCCTCTCTCCAGCGCTGCCGTAATGGCGGCGCGCCCTGACCCCCTGCCGCCGTCTTCAGGTGGTCCGGAGCTATGCGTGGTGACCCGGCTGGCGTCGCCGGACTTCTCGGCCGAGTACCACCAGCCGGTGCCGGCGTTCGGCTGCTTCAGCCGCTGCGTTACGGCCGACGGCCGCGAGGTGCACGCCATGCGCCCGTCCACCAAGTACAGCAGCCGCGACACGCTGCCGCCCCAGGTGAGCACACGCCGCCCGCCGCTCGTAATTGCGGCCGGGGGTGCCGCACAGCGCCGGGGACGATTAAGGCCGACCTGCGTCGATGCCGGGAGCGCCATCTGGCGGCGGTAACCAGATCATGAATCATCGACACGGGATGGCGGCGGCGCGCCGCTTCCGCCGCCGCATCGGACGACGCGAGGTCGTGGCGACGCCGCCGGGTGCCCCCGTTTGTGGGGGAGAAGCACATGTGTAGGGCGCGTCAGGGTACGCCCAGGTGCCGCCGGGTGGTAGACATTTGTGCCTTTCGGCGGCAGTGTCAGCGCCGCGCGTTCCCCCGCGTCGGCCTGGCGGGTTGACAACATGGCACATGCGTCAGCGCGCCGGCTGTGGGTTATGCGCAGCTGCTGAGTGGCAGATGACTCCGGCTAGGTGCAGCCGGCCGGCGCGGACTGGCGAGACCAGGCCGCCGGGCGGTGGCGACGTGCCGCGGCGCACGTGCCCCGCGCCGCCACGCCGGCCACGTCCGCCGCGTGGGGCGCGGGCCCGTGCGGCGAGGTGCCGTGCGCCGGCCCGGCGGGGCGCCGCGGGCGAGCCGCGCCGGACCGCCGGCCGCTCATCGATCGGGCGCGGTGCGCTTCGGCCAGCTTCATTCAGGGCGAACCTGGCCGCAATCAATGCGCCGCGGCCGGCCGTCCGGCGCCGCGTTCGCCTCCTGACCGCTGGGGCAGCGGCGCCGCTCGTTTGTCCGCCGCTGTCTGTGGCACGCACGATCGGCTGTGTTGAGTTCAGCCTGGGATCTATGTGCTGGATGACATTTATTGAAATGATTGCGTCGATAGCGGGTTTGAATTGCCTGAAGGGCTTTCAAAGAGGTTAAGTTTATTACGACTCTCCTTTCATTGTGCGATAATCCGAGGCTTTGTGAATGGAATGTGTTTTTGTTTGCTCATAATCGCCTTCGTAAGTACTGCGATGCACGACTCATGTTTATCAAATGGTTCTAATGGGGAATCAATATATTTCCCGGGTGCCGCCTATCTTTTCAGGTAGACCTTGTGCCGCTTGAGGTTCCCTACGTTAACACCGGCAAAAAAACAAAACAAAAGCGTACTGCCATGCCCTGTCTCCAAACCGTTGCAGGGCTTGCGTGTCAGCGTGCACTTTGGATACGCTATATCGAGCGAACATACGACAGTGCGAACCCCACGACACGCCACACGAGGCAATGCTGTCTTTTCACACCACATCTCCCTGTCTGTTGTCATGTGTTTGTGGTGAACTAGGTCATAAAGGTCCGCTACAATCGCCAAGGCTTGCGCCGACACAGCAGTGCACTGAGATGGGACGTCGTCCGCCCCGTGTGTGTGTCACGCACGAGGATACACGTCATGTGTACGTCATTCATACGTCACATTCATCCGACCGCTCGGTGCTCCACGCCACGCGCCTGGAGTGGAGGGTTTCTATTCTAGCATGTGCCCGTCGCCGGCAGGATCGGCCGAAGCTGGTGCTGCGGGTTCTGCCGCCGCCCGAGGGCACCCCCGTCAGCAGGGATATCGTGCTGATCCTGGACGCTTCGTCGTCGGTTGACTGGTGAGTGGCTGGCGCGGCCGGTGCGGCCCCACGCCACGCGCGGCTCCGCGCTGTCGGCACGCGGACTGGGGTGGGCCGGGTAGGGATGGCGATGGTAGATCTGGCGCGAGCTCGCCGGGCGTCACTGGCCAAAGGACTGGTCATGAGTACGCATCTGGCGGCGCTTTCGACGGTGCGATGCTAGCAAGGGAGTGAATGTCGTCTGCAGCGTTGCTCAGACGCCACGTGGCGTTTGGCGTCTAGCATTTGGTTATCACCTTGATTAGAGCAAGCAATCTTGTGCTGGCTTTAAATCATTACATAACAAACCTTACCCGGAAGCCCGCATGTCCGTGCCAAAGTGACCGTGAAAGGCATACAGCTTACCACGGCTCAACGACTCGGTGAGCCGTCGTAGGCTGATATGTTTGATGTTTCGTGCTGGTACATACCGCAGTTGAAAAACCAGCAGCATTTTATTGACTTGCGTAACAGCACTGGGGATTTGGAAATCGTGTCAGCTGAAATTGACGGCATATCCTCGAACCCACACTGCCGCCCAACTGTCCACATTCCATCAGCTGGCAAGCCAGCCAACGACAAAACATCTTGTGCTTGGCCGGCGGCCCGGGCCAGCGGCACCTGCCCTCTGTAGGCCGTGTGGCCGGCGCTGCCAGGCCCTCGGCGACCGCCGGGGTCACAGCCGGCACATGTCAGCCGGCGCCGCGCCGACACGGGTCAGGTGCTGAGCTCGGTCACGTCCGGGTGCCTGATCAGATAAGACGCGTGCCTGCTGCGTGCGGCGCCGCCGCTCGGCTCGGCTCGGCTCGGCTCGGCTCGGCTCGGCTCGGCTCGGCTCGGCTCGGCGTGGTTAGCTGGGTCAATGCAGCTTATACCTCCCCATTCACAGCGAGTCGTGGAGACCAACGCGCATCAAGCAGGCACATGATCGGATAGGGTACCGGCAGGCAGGGTGGTGGGAAGGGGCGAAGGTCTGAGACATTGTGACTGCACATTCCTCGCGTGTGTAAGGAAGCGTTTGCGTGACACAGCGAACCCCTGTGTGTCCGCAGGACTGTCCTGGGTAACGGCGCCTTCGACAACGCTACCGCCTTCCAGATAGTGGTGAGTGAACGGGAGAGCGGCGCTGTTCGATATGCGTGACTGCGCTTGCTGTGCGTGTGCTGCATGCCAGCGGACCCATCCATTCCTCGCTGCGTTCTTCCCACCGTAGGTAAGCATGTAGTTTTCAGGCTGTCCAAGAGTGAGGTTCCCCGAGACTCCCAGATGCGATTCGACTTAACTGAGGCTCTAGAGATTTTAAGAAACTCCCGGCTACTCTCTGAGACTCGGATACTACCGGATAATTTTATTTACCTGTGACGGTGTGGACAACGCTGTCACAGGCTGCCTGGCGGTGAGGAGACCCACCTGGAGGTCAGTGGCCTCTCATGATGGTGCATTATCGACTTGGCGAATACCTTGATGCGCCGCAAAAGGTCAATTTGTCGAGATCGTCATTTCGAAATAGCGAGCGGCCACGCTGTTGCCGGGCGCAGGCGGTTCTAGAAGCTGGTATAGCAACTGGTACGTGGCAGACCCCCAAACCGCAGACCCCATGCGGCAGACGCTCCAAGTGTCAGACCCCTAAGCGGCAGACCTCCCTAGTGGCAGACCCCAAGCGGCAGACGCTCCAAGTGTCAGACCCCTAAGCGGCAGACCTCCGTAGTGGCAGACCCCAAGTGGTAGACCACAAGTGGTAGACCCTCAAGTGGTTCAGGGACGGCAGAAAAAAGGATAGTAGAACTACGCATTTGTACATGGGGGAGGGGGATGGGAGGGGGGGGGGGGGGGCAGGTTGGAAAGCGTCAGCAGACGTCACGGACTGCGCGGGCACATCCACGCGCGGGGTGCCGATTCAGCATCAGGTAGAGCACAGATGATTATGGCGAGCACGTAACCTGAAGGCGCTGGCGCCGTGCCCAGGCTTTTGCGTGGCCTTAGCCGTGCACTTCAGCTTCCGACGTTGGCCAAGGATGGCCGGCGCGTAGACGCCCTCGTCGCTGCAGCTAGCAAGGCAAATGTGCTGTGCATTAGGATGTAAGCGCCATACGCACACAACGCACGGGACGCACACAACGTACGGGAAAATAGGTCGTTTGAAAACCCTGGGAAAATGGGGCATTGCATGTCAGCTGAAAACACGTGCACCATCGCATATAAGAGTTGTGCTCACGACATGTTTCAGGTGGCATCACTGGATTTTAAATGGCTAGATGACGTTTGATATCTTCATTTGGTCCGTGTGGGATTAAGGCATTATCGGAGCTGGCTAAACGCTCCGATCCATAGGGTCCCAAGTCACATTCTGTTTAAGCGTCTAGTCACGGGCGGGTCTTCGTGCATAACGCGTGTCACGGCACGTCGTCTGTCACTTTGACGAATCCCATTTTCCATTAGCTCTTCGACGCTTATCTGACCAGAGATTCAGGTACATGATTATGCACTTATATGTGCCACCATTCAGCCGGCTGGCTGTTTTTCAAGTGAGTTTCGAGACGTTTCGCCTGTTGGCGGGCGATAGCGGCCATTCAACAAAAGGCGTCCGCCGCCGTACAGTCCGCCACCGTCAGCGGTGGCCGCCGGCCGCCCACCTGACTAGCCTGGGTGTTGTTTGCTGCGCGGAGGGCCCGGGTGGTGCGCGTGCCGGTCGTCCGTCGGGCGGCCGGAGCACGCACCTCCGGCCGCCGGTGCGCCTGCAGCGGCGCGTCGCGGTCGTGTTTGGAAGCCCGGTGACGGCCTGGCCACGCGTGACGCGGCGAGGCGCGCGCGGCTCCGGTCACCTGAGCTGGAAGAGCCTGGTGTCCTGTTGACCAACGTCGGGGGGGGGGGGGGGGAGGGAGGGGGAAGGGGGACGGCACGCGGCCCTTCTTCTGCGCGGCGGCGGCGGCGGCGGCGGCGGCGGCCATGTCGGGGCGTTAGGCGCCGCTGGGGCCCCACTGAGCGGGGGCCCGCTGCGACGGCCACAGCTCGTCAGTCGTGCTGCAGGCGGCGTTGGTGTCATGCCGCAGGTCGTGCATCCTCATCTCATGTACCGCTGCCACTGTCCCCTGGGGAACAGGGCCTGGCTCGCGGAGCTCGGCGGTCCTCGGGCGGAGTCACGACATCTGAGCTGTCAGCACCAGTGTATATAGGCCATTCATTACATTACGGTCAGATGGCAACTGTACGAAAAGGTCAGTCCGGCACTGTCCGGCTTTGTCGTGGCATTTTAGCATAAAGACTGTCTCACCACAAACCTGTCGAGCTGTCAATCGGTACGAGCTACCCGTCGAATTGAACTCGTAGTGGCGGCCGGCTCGGAATAAACACAGCGGTATCTGTCTCTCAGATGATGCACGAGATGCCGAGTGTCCTCTGTTGAAGTCGCTCAATGACAAGCTCTTTAAAAGCACTAAATACTCAAGCACGGCGTGCGAGTACCCGTAGACGAACCACTGGTTATCTCCAACAGCAGAGCCATCCGGAGCCACGTGTCGATTTTCGCTTGCAGTGGTTGGCAGTGCTGTGTTCCGTGTTCCGCGGGGAGGAGGCATGACGCGGTGCTCTTTGCATTGTATTCCGTGGAGAGGAGGCATAACACGGTGCTCTGCTCCGCGTTCCGTGGGGAGCAGGGGTGACTCGGTGGGTTGGCGGCTGGTGGCTATTGCCCTGTCCTACCCAGCGCTGTTTTTTTTAGGCGAAACAGGCGCACGTCACGGCCAGCCCTGCCTCGCTCGTTTTAGTCGCTGCGCCTTCCCAGTTGCCCGAGGGCAGAGCTTTACGATTTTCGTGGGGCGGCGGAAACTGATAGACTGTGGACTGATTTAAGACTACCGCATGAAATTTTCAGATGTGCGCCGCAATAATTATTTGTGTGGCTGAAAACGTTATGGTAGATATCCAGACAAGGCGTTGCACGTTCACAGGCACGACAGTAATGATTTTAAGGTAACGAGAAGGCACACAAAAGGCGGCGGACTTTAATATTCGGACCATCATCGGTTCACCCCAGGACTCACCTTAAGCAAGGCGTTGATTGATGAGCCTGTTGTCTTACTTGGCCTTTTTACGTGATTATACAAAATGCAGTCATTGGCGTGCTGGAGATGACGTTTTTCCTTTTGATATGCCCACCGCCGTCACAGGAAACTGAAAGCCAATGATATCGTCCAGGATGAAAATAAAGCCTGCGGCATGTTTTCGGTATTGCGGCATACATCAGTGTTGTCATAAACCTAAGTTGTCGTGAACCAGTGTTGACCAGTGACCAGTGCTGTCATAAACCATAAACATACCTCGTCCATCAGTGTTGTCATAAATTTTTGCGTCTCAGTGAACATTATCATTATGTAACAAAGCTGCAGAGCTGCGTGACGGCTCTGGCCTTTCCAAACCAACGTCCTCGGGAGCGGGTCAGTTGCCGGTATGACTCGTTTAGCCAGAACAGGCATTTCGGCTTCAGACTTTTTTGTTCGGAACACACGCATAAGCTCGATGGAAGTGCTTTTGCGTGGGTGTCAGTACTGACGGGCTGCACGCAACCCCGCCTTACAGTCTTATCCGCTGAGCGCGTTGAAAAGCTCCGATGTACGGTGAAGTCCGACTGCTGTGCTCGCCCATTACAACTGATGCGAGGGGTGGAGGGGAGGAGCAGCGCAGCCGACCCCGTCCTAGCAGCCGCCCTGAATGGCTGGCGCCGGCCCGCTAACTGAGCGGTCCTCACAGGACGGGTGTTTGAACAGCTTTTTTAACCACGCTGGCCGAACGGCTCGCTCAGCTCCGGTAGGTGACTCAGCAGTTGCCTCAGCCCGGCAGCTGAGTGGCTGGGCGGCTCGGCCCCGCAGTCGAGCGACTGAGGAGCTCGCTCAGCCCGGAGCGGAGCGGAGCAACCAGCCCCGGCAGCCGGATGCCTCGCCCAGCCCCGGTGGCCGGATGACCCGTCCAGCCCCGGTGGCCGGATGATCCGTCCAGCCCCGGTGGCCGGATGACCCGTCCAGCCCCGGCAGCCGGATACCTGGTCTAGCCCCGGTGGCCGGGTGACTCGTCCAGTCCCGGTAGTCACATCCAGCCCCGGTAGCCGGATGTCTCATCCAGCCCCGGTAGCCGGATGTCTCATCCAGCCCCGGTAGCCGGATGACTCGTCCAGCCGCGGTAGCCGAGTCCAGCTGCGGTATCCGTACGACTCGTCCAGCCCCGGTAGCCGGTTGACTCGCCCATCCCCGGTAGCTGGATGCCTCGTCCAGCCCCGGTAGCGGCCCGGCCGGCCGGCGCAGCGGCGGCCGGACGGACCATCTGTCGACGCGGCGCCCCGGCCGAGCGCGTCCCCGGCCGCCGGGACGGCGGCGCGCTTCTAACGGGCCCGCGCGGCGCCGCCGGCCGTGGCGCCGATGCGCCGGCCTCCCGCCCGCCTCAGACCGTCGCCGAGATAGCCGCCGATGCAGAGGCCGCTGGTCATAGCGCGCCCGGCTTTTAGGAGCTGGACACAGCCTTGACATGCTAGTGGTTGGGGCCCCGCGATGTTTGGGCGGAGGCTGTTCGGTACAGGTTACGAGCAATGCACGATGTGTATTGTGGGCTCTGTCTGGTGTGTGTTAGAGGCTGGTTTATTCTCGTGAAGGAAGCAAGAATGGTGCGTCCCACCAAGACATGACTGATGGTTGTGCCGAGTAGATAAATGGCTCGCGTCCCGCCATGCATTTCCCCGACGAAGTCAAAGGAAAATGTCCGTGCACGCCGGCTTTCGCTGAGGCATGGCTTAACATAATCATTCACGCCTCCGCTTGCAAAGCATGGGCGAAGCTGTTTGCATGCCTCCGCTTACAGCAGCACGCATGACAAGGACCCATGATGGCACGCTGATTGTGCAACATGACGTAACAGTTTGGAGCAGCTGCTGCCGTGCCGTTGACGCGTTTATGCGATGGCTTGGGAGCACAGATTGTGTGTCTGTGTGTCATTTTGGCTTTGCGACGCACTGCTGAGGCTATATGGCGTCGCCTGCCTCTCACCCTGGCAGGAAGGGCGGGCACCGCGGGGAATCGAACCCCGTACCTCTGGTTTCCCAGACGTGCGGTGGTTAACGCAGATGCGTTAACCACTACACCACCGATACCCCTAGCACAGATTGTTGCACAGCAAAAGCAGATATCGTTATCCAAATTTCGCCAGTTCCTGCTTATCACTAGTGTTCGGACAGTTCACATCTCATTGTAAACATATGTTTTCTTGGCGCCTTTCAGTTCGTAGTTATTTGGTATTTAAGATGGCAGCTACATCAGAAACGTCATCAGATTCAGACACCGACGCTCGAATTTTGTATTCTTAGCCGTAGTTGGTGCAACAACCAAAACATGTCCCACAAATTTATATTTTCAGCCAATATATCAAAATCACATTGGCAAAAGATGCCAAGGAAACCGAAATGTCCTCGCAGAGGCCCCGAAGGTGACCGAAATAAGAAAGTGTCCATCCATAAATGGGAGGTTTACAGATATGTCTCAGATTACGAAGAGACCCGTAACTGCGAAAAGAGTCCTAAACCGAGAGCCCGGTATCGCTCACAAAATGCGCCATTTCCAACGAAAGTAATTGGTTTCGTCATTCTGTGCACTTTCCTTGTATAGCTTGGCGGACTTCACCAGTCCCGGTCAGCACTAATGACGCCGCGCGAGTTTGCGACTTGAGTCCTATGATGACCATCGCCATCCCTCATGCTGGGTGTAGTGACGTCACAAACTCGTCCAGTACGCGTCTGCCATGTTTCACGTATGCGTGTGGTGCTGGAGCGTGCGGGCATGCGGCCGGAAGGGCGAGCTCCGCAGGCAGGCCAGTGGCCCGTGTTCTGGAAGACGTGAGGTCATCGATTCGGTGCTGGCGCAAACCTTTGATCCGACGAAGCGCGGCCGATGGCGGCGGACGAGTGGCGGCGGACCCCGCGGCCGTGGCGTGCCCCACCGGCCGGCGACGAGTCCCGGAAGAGTAGAGTGCCGGTCAGTCGCGGTCGCGTGCGGCCTTAATACGGCCGCCGGTCGGCCACGGCCGTCCGCTTTACCTGTCATGGGGTACATGTGCTGGCACTTGCCATGCAGCGTCACTGGCATACCGAGCCGAGGGTGGCGCCGCCATGACTTGCTAATGTCGCCCAGGGCCGCCCGATATCTCGCCGGGGATCGCCGAGCGACGACCGCTGTGCGCGCGGAGCGCGCCGGCCGCCCCCCCCCCCCCACTTCCTGGGAAATGGTCCGCTTATGTAAGCGGCCGGCCGACATTCGGCCGGCGCCGAGGCGTCCGATGAACACCTCCATACGGATGCGGCGCGGCCGGCCGCGGTGGCGGCGCCGGCGGGCGAGGCGGTGCCGCCCCGCCCCCGCGCGTCGTGACCGCCGGCGCCGGCGTCGAGTCGCGGCGGGCTTTCCGCGAGCGGGCGCGGGTGTGGCGCGGCGGCGCGCTCGACTGTGCACGGCCCATCACGACGTCTGCCGGGCCGAACACGCCTCGTTGGAGCATTGGTCAGGCTGGTGACGGCGAGGCATCCGACGCGATACATCAACGCATCTTTGAGAATGGAGTTCAGCCGCAATGTCGATGTCTGGAGGCGAAGCGCTGACTCCGTTTCGTGTCCTCGTCACTGCCGTCGGCTGTTGACTACACGCCTTGCCTGTTTGCGGCCAAGCTCCCCGCCCTCGCCGCCGCCCCTGACTGTCGCCTGCCTTTTCCCGCAGCTGACCAAGCTGTCGGCGGTGGAGCGGACGGACCTGCCGGCCGTGTCGGTGACGCGACAGCCGGCGCGTCCGCGCGCCGCTCTGCTCGACTTCATCGTCAAGGAGTTCGGTTGCATCACCTCGTTCACGGACGTGACCGTTGCCGACCTGGTCCGGCTGCAGATCGGCACTGGTGAGTAGCTGCTGGCCGAGAGTCGCGCGAGGTACCCCTTACCCCTAAGCCAGCGAGATAGGGTTCCTTGGTGTTGGCAGCGCGCCGCAGCACACATACAATGGGGAGCAGGACGGAGACGCTGGCATGTATGTGAGGTTCGTTTTGTGTGTAGGACTGTTGCACGGTTGCCGCATTTTTTGACTGATTTGGGCGGTGGACCACGAAACTATTTTTCGACGCATGTACTAACCCTTTTGTTTGCGCTATGCCGATTTTGGTCACCTGACGTGCTTACTTGCTTGGGAGCATGACGATTGCTGTGCAGCCAACATTAGACCTTGCTGTGAAGCCCAATGAATATGGTGTCCGGGACAAAAACTGTACACCTGATTATTTACATCGCTTTTTATCGACCTACGATAGCGTAATCATTCAGGGATAGGCCTTGTCTTCTCTGGCCATGTGTTCATCGGTTTTAGTTTTGGCTGCGTGTAGTTGGCAGTTTTCTCACACCCAATGTTCGTTTTTTTTTTACTTAACTTAAACTGGAGTTTTTGTTACCTTCACTGTTCTTTGTAGCTCGGCCAGGATGCGCTTAAGTTTAGCTCGTTAGTCTGGTGGTGTTTGCAATCGTCACCGGGCTTGAATGCCGTTGTTTCGGTTTTCTTCGAATGTGCAAATTGCACCGACAAACGCTGTGTGCTCCGGTGTCGTAGTCTCTCGAACTATGCGTGAAACTGGTGAAATTGGTTTAAGCCGCTCAAGCACCGGCTGTTGAAAACGCATTTACAAGTTGCCATGTAGCTGCCATGTGCATTGTAATGTTCCGCACAGATAAACGTTTGCAATGCAACACACATATCGCCGTAAAGTCCTGTTGTCGACGATTCCTGCCATAATTAATGGCTTCAACACGACCAATGAGAGCGCGCCACAAAATTAGTCCTCGAAGTTTTACGCGTTTTGGTGCCTTGCGAACGCAGAAGCACGTGATACGCCGTAAGGGAATGGTCCTACAGGTGTGATATGTTTCCGGTGGCCGATTGAAATGTCCGCATGCATCAAGACCGTCGCACGTCGTCGGCTGGCTCAACGCCAGCTCCGGCGGTAATCGCTGGCGGCAGCTGGACGAAGTGGGCTCGAGTGCTTCGAAAACCTTGATCGTTCTGACACGTCATGAACACGAGCGCTCTTATCTGCGTATTCAGAAGATCGGCATGAAAGTGGACTGAGCCGACGTTTGGGCCGGCCGCACCAGCGGTCTCGAAGTGATCGCCGTGTCCATTAGTTTAAGCTGGCGATTGGTGCTGGCCGGATCTTCCGGTTGTACGTGCCCTCGAGTACAATCAGCGTTAGCTTCGCGACAGTGGTGCGGTGCTGGTACGTGTACCGGCACCAGACCATCACGCAAGTGCACGCAGTGCTGTGACGGAACTGCGAACGATACCGACGACACACGTGGTCTAAACTGACAATTGAAACCGTAGTGAAATGGCGTTGGCATGCCGTATGTGCACGTGTTTGGCATGCGGTATGTATGTGTGTTCGGCATGCGGTCTGTGCGCGTGCATGAGCTTCCACTGCAACAGACGTTCAAAATCACCAATGGAGATGTTCGATAGGCCCAGTGGATATTCAGCAGTCCGCTCGAACTACGTGTTTCTCCAATTGCCTGTCAGCGGCGGCATTGTCAAACACATACCTCAGGTTATTTTGCAATAACGACACGACAAGACGAGAGACAAGGCAGCCTTTCAAGTTTGCTCGTCTGCTTGATCAATAAGAAGCCCGGCGCCCTTCATCTCGACCGCAAGCGGACGCTAACAGGTGCTGCACGCTACAATTTTATTTATTTTTGCGCCACTCGCTGCTCACATCCGGGTCTTCGGACCTGAAGTTCGTCGGACTTGAACCGGCGCTGCTTCGAGCGGACTCAGGTAGGCAGCATTTGATGTGAGAGTGTGTAGCCACGGAAGAATTTCCGTCTTGTGCTACTGCACTGGCGGCTGAAGCGCCTTGGTGCTGACACGGAGACCACGAGACAGCCGATATTAAGGCTCGGTGGAGGGGTGAGTTCTGAACCCGTGAGGAAAGCTTCTATGGTATAGGTGCAAGCCGATGGGCGAAACAACAATATTTTGATAAAAGCAAGAATGGCATTGGGCATCTTGTTTTTGGTGTCATAGGTTCAGAATTGTCATCCTTGCAGTTATCGACCGTCAGTACATCGGAGGTACTAGTTGAACGGCGTCAAGCAAACATGGGCTACATTTTCGGTAATGGCCGTTTTGGAGCTGTGCGTATCGTCGTAAGTACGCCAATGTTTACTTGAGAGAACTTCGCTTAACCAGTACCTCCTGGTATATCGACAATTGATGACTGTCAACGTCAGAACTCTGAAGTCATAAGGGGAAAATCCGAGGTTAGAATCCACGAACATCATTGTAAAATATGTTCATAACGCTCCTGACCATTTCAAGTCACTTGCTTATTTGTTTATTTGTTTATTTTATTTTACTTTATCGCCAACAGAGCAATGCTCCCTTCACCGACAAAGTCGTTTAAAAAAAAAACAAACAATAAAAACACATAGGCTTTTCGTGTCTTTCTTATCTTATGTCATTTATTTGTGATCGGCTTCATCCCAGATGAATTCCATTCAGATCATATAGATCCAGTTAGCTTTGAGCAGCAAGAATTATCGTTTGCCACGAACCCGTGCGGCGGAAATATTGCCGGTGCCGTTAACAAACCGAGGTGGCTGTCCAATTAGCTTGTCAAAACAGACAATCAGCCATGGTCGTCGTCATCTGGTGATCCCGCGCCAAGACAAGTTGAGCTTATGCATCATGCACCAGTTGTTCAAAGACAGGATAATCAGTCAAACCTTTTCAGCTGAGCGTCTGGATCAGCGTTTTAAGTTCAGAGCCTTTGCGCTGAGTTATTAACTTTCACTTTACCAGGAATTGATGGCTAAGCCAAGTCCTAGAGCAAGCATTGGTTGAATTGGCAGTGTTGGACGCTGCATGCTGTGGCCATGGTCACTCCTGATTAGCACGGTCGCTATTAACATCATGGAAATAGGACCTCCTGGCATATTGGAGGTCGATAACTCAGTACAAGAATTTAGAATTTTCAACTAATGATGCCGAAAAACCAGTGGCTGAAAGCTTCTCTTGCCTGTCTCACACATCGGTCATCACCGCGACAGACAGATACACTGACACCATGTTAAGGTAACGGCGGCTCGGACGCTCTGAGATCGGTATCCAGGCTTCAGATACCGTCTTTGTACGTGGTGAGAACCACATCTGTCTATTTTTATGTACCGTTGTGTGGTCCGAGAACATTTGCTCTTTAATGTGAATGACAGACGTTTGCTCCCATTCGAGGCATCCTCGCGTGCCCTGCGTAGCCAGCAGCGCTGGACATTGGGCCGGCGCAGGGTGGCGGCCGTGCTGACCTTGCCATCCCGTCCGGTGAGGGCTGATCGGTGGTTTAGAAGGAGGAAGAGCCGGTCAGCGCTGCTGGACTGGCAGCACGGGTCGGCCCGTGACGCTGACCGACTGGCTTGCTCACCTCGCCGCTGGCCGGGCGTGTGTTCCCTCCCCGCTCGGCATCGGCGCTGACGGCGGTGTGCGGGCGCCCGGGCCCGCCGCGGCCGACAGGGCGCCCCGTCTCTCAGCCTGTCGCTGGCATCGGGGCGTGCTCTTCGGACTCGACCAGGGGTTGGTCTGCCCCGGCGTGGTCTCAGACGGGACTGGGAGTGGCAGAGCGCCTGATGGGCGTTGCTCTCAGACGCTGGCCCGCCTTCAGGCCGCCACTTGCCACCGTGCGTCAGATTTTGTGCCAAACGAATAGTTGCACGTATGGCCGAAGTATTAGATCTGGCTAGGGTAAATGCCATGTCTGATGCGAAAACGGTAACACAGATTCACTCCTGCTTAAGTGATGCTGTACAACAAGCAATGTATAGAGGAGACGTGTTCACGTAATTCCAGCGAAGATCGCTTTGGAAGGGGAGCATGTGCCGGAAGCGTGCCACGGTGAGGACGACCTGGAGGCGCGACCCGCGCGCCAGGGCCGTCACGACCTCTGCAAACTGCCGGCCGGCCGGCGGGCGAGCGCGCCGCCTACGTGCCTCGCGTTCCGACCGACTCGGCTCCGTGCGGCCGGCTCGGCTGGGCCGGGCGCGTACTACGGGCCGGCAGCGGGAGCGGCCCTGGCGGCCGGCCCGGCGGCGGCACACCCTCGCCGCCCGGCGCGACGCCCGGCTACTCGCCGGCACCCGGCCAGCTGACTCAGCTACTCACGCGCCGACCGTCAGAGTCAACCGCCGTCGGCCGGCGCGGCCGCCGGCGCCGGAGCCGGAGCCGGAGCCAGGAGCCAGAGCCAGAGCCAGAGCCAGAGCCAGAGCCAGAGCCAGAGCCAGAGCCAGAGCCAGAGTCAGAGTCAGAGTCAGAGCCAGAGCCAGAGCCGTCGCGCTGGGCACCGGCGCGCATCGATTGTGCACGGGCCGCGCGGCCGCGCACTGTCGGGCTGTCCCGCGGCGACGGCGGCGGCGGCGGCGGCCTGGCAGCGCTGCGGGCCCGGCCGGCGGCAGTAAACAGAGCCGCCGCGCGCTGGCGGCCGCCCGTGTTTCGCGGCCTGCCAGGTGGCTCCTGCCGGCCGGCCGGCCCGGCCAACCGGCAGGCCCGGACACGGCCGCGGCGCGCTGCCAGCCACGGTCGATCGATGCGGCGGCCGCGTGAGCGCCGCCGCCGCCGCCGCGTGCGCCGCTCCCATGGCGGCGTGGCCTTGAAGTGGGGCCGGCGCCGGGAGACGGCCCGGCGCTGCCGCCGCCTCCGGCGCCGGCGCCGCGCCGCGCCATTCACGGCGCAGAGGCACGGCCGCCAGCGCCTCTCCTCTGCGACGGCCAGGCCGCGCTCGAAGCAGCGGGGTAACGGGACGCCGCGCTGGCGGCGCCGAGCCGGACGCTGCGGCGTAGTAGTGGTGCCGTGGCAGGATCGCGTGATCGG